CATGGCCAACCACAGTTCAAGTCCTGGACCTGGTGACTTGCTTTCTCACTTTCCCTTTCTCTCTATCTCTATCTGGTCAAAATTTAAAATAATAATAATAATAATAATAATAATAATGACAAATAGAATTACATAAATAAATCTTTAAAAAATGTAAGCAAAATTACTTTTTTCACTTAACAAATTAACAAGAGGTAATTAACATGTATTTTATATAAATATTTATTTTACCTCAATAATTACCACAAACACATCTAGTATTTGATTCAGCTCATCCTGAAGAGTCCACGACTTGATTGAGAAGGATTACGTGTCTGAGGCCTCATTGAGAAATAAATCTCACTTTTCCTTGATTAGGAACTGACTTAAACACCCATAACACATGGTGAGTTTTGGTGTCACAATGATGATTCTAGCACCCAGACTACTTCAGAATAGCTGGAAGGAGCCACAGTGAGCTAAGCAATGTCACTATGTGAGACTCTCACCCACTGAAGGTCACACCCATGGAGGCCAGCCTCTCCTAGCTTAACCTCTCCGGAAATAACCCTCAGTCACAGGACAATTCAGGATTACTTACGAGAACTAGAAAATTTCTTGCTATGTATCAGACAAAACAACATGTTACATTCTGTAGATCTAATGAGGCCGAAAAAGAAGGCCCAGGTTCAATGGAGGAAGCCAACTCACAGATAACTCATTGATTTCCCCAGCTTTGCCCTACCTGTCCATCACAAATGGTTGACTACTGAAAGGACCAGGAAGACACCATTATGGAAAGCCGTGTTTTGTTTATTCTGGGTACTGGTCCACGAAGCTGGACAGTCACTCAACCAAGGCCAACATTCGTGTCAGGCCTTGGATCAGTAGACAGGACATGAGAAGGCTGAACAAGTCTGACCACATAGCACAGAAATGAATGACAACAAGCCTACAAGTGCTTCCTTGGTTCCCATTCCATAAATGAACCCCAGGGAGAGATACCATGGGTACATCCCAAAACAACTGTTCAGCTACCTGCAAATGTATAGGGAAGCTCAGTTCTGGCAGCTTTTCGATCACTTCGACATCTTTTCCCATGAGTCTGATGCTGCTCTTTCTCTGGCTCATTTTCTTCCTCACTCTCTACATTAGATTCCAGATCCGAGTGGCTATCTGGGCCATCGCTCTCCTCTGGGTCCTCCTCCCCACTTGAATCTTCACCCTCTTCCTCCTCGTTTTCATTGTCACTGGCTTCCCTGCTTTGCTCTTCCTGGACATCTTCCTCAACATTCATCTTTCCATCCTAGGGAGAGAATACAAAAACCGTCACTATACAGGGCAGAAACAATAGCGGGAACATCCTACAACTCTACCAAATATCAGTGCTTTCTTACCCATGTGCAAGGAACACAAACCTTAGTACCCCATTTGTCACTAGCACTGGGTCTCCCTGACTAACACTTTCTGCTTAAAACACCTGACCTGTTTTTTTTAACTTGAGCAGTGACTGATACACTCTAAGAGAAAAACAGGATACAGACCTTACAAAATTCCTGAATTAAAAATTCATAACTTGGTATTGGCGTAATGGTTACATCACTGGACTTGCATGTAGCTGACCATTGTTCTAGTCCTAGACCTGGCAGCTTAAAACTCATACTGGGTGTGTGTGCATATGTGCCCAAAATCCCAAGAAGGGAATGGAGGAGAAGGGACTGTGGTATGGCCATCCCCCCTGAGAGGTGATATCTCACTTTCTATCTCTCTGTCTCTCTGGTGAGCACACGGGCCGTATAGCACAAAACAAAAACAAAAACAAAAAAAACTCTAATCTTTAGTTACCTCCTTTAATATTACGCTGGAGTCCTCCAGATAATCATACAGTTAAGTACTGATGGGGAAAGGGAGCATTATTGTTATAGTCTTCTTTATAAAGTATTTTTTTAAGAATTATTTAACTTTCATCAGGTCTGGGACGCGAACCACGGTCAACTATACATGGGAGTCCAGCAACATAGCCATTACGCTAACTGCTAGTTCCCTATTTATTTATTTATTTTAATTTGACCAGAGAGAAAGAGGAAAAGTGAGAAAGACACACAGAGAGACAAATAAAGGGAAGCCGCCAGGTCCAGGATTCAAACTGTGGTTGGCCATGTGGGAGTCGAGCGCCCCTAACCACCACAACACCTGCCAACCCCTTCTTTATAAAGTTTTGATATCTGACATACTATAACACCCACCTAAAGAACTTTAGAGAGACTCAGCTTCTAGCACAACGGCTAAATGCTGTGCATAGAAAGCCAGATCCCATATGGCCACCTGTAGTTCGAATCCTGGTCCCTACAGCTTGAGAAACTCGCCAGGTGTGGGTATACCCAAAATCTTGACAGGATGAAGAAATGGAAAAAGGATTAAAGTGTGCCCACACCCCACTGTGGGTGCTTTCTCTTTTGCGCTCTAGTGCCCACTGGCAATTAAAGAAACAAAACTTTAGAGAAACTGTTGAAAAATATTTAACTTTTCCATCTGTGATAAACCCCTTAAACAAATACCAGAATATTTGTTTTTTAATTAAAAGAAAAAAGAAAGAAAGAAAATGGGTCAGTTGCAATGGCTCGGCACTGACGCAACAATCCATAATGCTGAAGCCACATGGGAAGGCTCTGAGTTTGCATTCTGAGATCTCCCTGTACATGCCAGGCACGTGCACGCCTGAGTCGGATGGACAGAAAGGAAGGAAGGAAGGACGGAAGAAAGGACAGATGGAAGACCAATGAAGCCAAACATCTTACTTTGTAAGAAAGCAAACGCCTATCATCTTTATCTAGTACGAAGCCGTCATTTAAATCATCTGCTGACATATGTTTGGGTTTCTTAGCATTTTCATCCTCATCCTTTCCAAGCATTCTTCGAAGTCTTTCAGCCTGAGAAGGAAAAAAAAAAAAGGAAGTCAGATGGTGTGCTCATCTAACACGTGCAAAGGAGCCACGCTGTCCTGCTCCTGGACAGCCAGGCGGAATGGACAGCCAGGCGGAATCCACAGCCCATGGTCACTTTAGCAATGTCACTGGTGGGTGTGTCCCGCCTGCTTTCTGCCTGCAGTCTTCAGTCAAACACAACAATGCTTGGTAAGCTCACATGGAAAAGTTTCTTATTTAGCAAAATAAATTGTTAAAACTTTGTGGCAGAAATACTTTCTAGTCACAAGGAAGGAATATCTGTTACTGTGAGGTCTTGGTAGTAAAATTCTGTTGCCCAACCCTGATCACAACTCATCACTGACTGTTCCAAGAAGAAGATACACTCAAATAAACCACTCTACTGTCATCATTATTTGAAAATATACAGGATATGGGAAGAGGCTTATGATGTGGCTCTGCTAAAAAGGCCAGCTATAGAATAGTAAATCACTATTTCACTTTTGTTTAAATTCAATGAAAACTTTTTAAAAGATGAAAAGAGGTTTAGAAGGCAATTGTAAACACTATATTGCTGGCAGTTGTAGGGCAGAAGGAATGTATACTTGAGTATTATCAGAATTTTATTCCTTGTTTTTGCTTTTATAATCAAAAATTAAAGATATAGTTGGATAAATACAAACTGTAAACAGGCTAAAAAGATTCCATTGATAAAGCAGTGTATCTCCAGCCCATTTTTCCAGCAGAAAGAGCTGAAAACGAAAGGCAGCAATGGTGTCACAACAGAGAACCATGGCTGCTGCTGCGGCCTTCATTAGTTGCCCGTCACCACATACCTCCAGTCTCCTGAGCCGCTCCTGCTCCTCCTTTGCCAGTTCCGCTTCCGTTTTCATCCTGTTGGAGGGCTGGGCCTTCATTTCAAAGCCAAGCTCCCGCACCATCATGTCATATGCATCCGGCTGAAGTGGAAAGAAGATATTTTTAATTTTTAATATACACATGTGTGTGTATTTCTCTTTTTAAACAAACAAAAAAAGGAATCTGTGTAGCTGGCTTCCTGGAGCATTGCAGTAATGGCTGGATACCATTAGCTAAAATACATCAAAGTCTCTTCTTCTAGAAAGATAGCTACTGTCATCAGTCTTGAAGTGGGAAAAGTCAGTGGGCACTTTGGTCCTATATCTGCTTTAACAAAAATAAACACTGCTCATCTAAACATTAAGCCCGTTCATGGAAAATTAGGTAAAGTAACAACAATAATAAGAGTGACTCACAAAGATGCACCCATGACCTCAAGACAATGTAATCTGGTGAAATCCTAGACTTTCCCTAGAATGCAGCTATTCAAATAAATACAGCACTTTCTAATAATTTAGACTACAAAAGATGTGGCAGGAAACAAATACTGGTTAGAGGGAAAAAATAAATAAATGTATATTAAACGTATATATATCGACATACAAGTGTGTAACGTGACAGTTCAAATGCCTATCCCAGTCTCCACCCTAAGTATTTCTCACATTGAGAAACAACCACTTTTTTCATTTATCTGGAGTGGAGACTAAGGTAATCCTGAGCCTACTTCTAACCCAACAAAACACATACTAGAAATTTCTATATGAATGTTTAATAGGCAGCTAGCTGATGACTCCTGCTCCTGTCTAAGCACTGAACTCAGGAGCAGAAATCACTTCAGTTTGCCCCATTCACCAGGAAGGAGGAGGTGTTCCAGCAATGGCCTTTTCTCCATGGAAAATGAGGTCAACAGATCGAAGGTCAGGATTTGCTTTGATCATCTGATTCCCACCTTGGGTTTCTCCTTTTTCTCTTTGTTCTCTGACTTGGGGATTCTGTGTGACAGCAGAGTCTGAATTTCTCTCCAGTCTTGGTCTAGCTTCTCTGTGAGCTCAAGGGCATCTTCTCGTTGGGCTTGTCTCTCCCTCTGGGAAAAAAAAACAAGCGACATACATTATACTCCGTTACAAGACTCCAACTGGGCAGCCTGATGTCAGTGCCAAGGACACCAAATGTGCCAATGGAAAAGAAGAGACCAGGCAAAATCACTGTCTTCAACCAAACAAGATTTCATCAAATAGGAATAATCTCTGCTATCAACTGTTCATCTCGGTACTCTCAATGGTTCACTGCAAGGTCATAAAAAATAGTCATGTTTGGCAAATCCCAATTTTGTCAAGTCCTAAAACCAGTAACAACAACCAAAAAAAAAAAAAAAAATCAGAGGTAAATGCTCAATGAGATTCAAAACATTCCTATTCAAAATGAATGCTTTCATTAAATTTGTATAAAATATTAAACATAGCCTAAAATGTACGGAGAAGAAACTCGAACATATTTGAGTGAGGTGTGTGTCTCATGATGGAGTTAACGCATTAGTTAGAATACTAATAAACCCACCTTCTCTTGTTTTGTTTTTGCAATGAGCTCTTCAATCAGTTCTTTCCGTGACTTCGGTTTCTCCCCCTCTTCTCCTTCCCCTTGAGAGGTCTTATGAAGGAGCCCGCCGCCACCTCCAAAGTGGGCAGCAGTCAGCTCAGCTGGGGAAGAAAGCAGAAACAACACAATGAAGCTCAGGTCCTGGCTCAGGAAGCATTTTTTTGGGGGGGTGGGGGGATATTTTCACTATAGGGTGCGTGCGCTCGCCAGACAGAGACATTGGAGACAGAAACCGAGAAATCACCCCCCAGGGGGGATGATCACGCCGCAATCCCTTCTCCTCCATTCTCCTCTCGGGATCTTGGGCACGCACGCACACGCACCTGGCGTGAGTTTTAAGCCACCAGGTCCGGGACTTGAACCGTGGTCAACTACGTGGGAATCCAGCGACATAGCCATTACGCTAACTGCTGGTTCCCAGGAAGCATTTTTTGTAATAGTCTGGCAACCTTCCCCCAAGTGCAGTCTTGAGAAATTCCACATTCGTGAAAAAATTCTCACACACAGCAGCTGGCATGAGACCACAGGCACATGGGCACTTAAGAAATACCCAAGGTTGGGTACCAGCAGGTGGTGTGGAGGGTAAGGTACTGGACACTCCCACATGGCTGACCACAGTTTGAGTCCTGGACCTGGCGGCTTGCTTTCTCTCTCTCTCTCTGGTCAAATTTAAAAAATAAATTGAGTGAATAAATAAAAATTAGATAAAAGTAATTCTTTAAGAAAAAAAAAAAGAAATACCCAAGGTGGGCCACTCCAAGGAAATTTAGACCCGTTAAACCACTAACTGGCCATAATCTAAGTGACCAGAAACATAAAACACCTATTTTTTGCTGTGTTCATTTTGCGGAAGATCAGGAAAATAAGCTGGAACCAGAGCCTCGGTAGGGAGAAGAGAGCTGGCATGGCAAGTCCCACCACTCACAACTCCTTGGGTCAGGCTTTCAGATTTAAAGACCCCGAATTCATGGTAGGAATCAGTAATAAGTCACTGACCATCTACTTGCCCCTTTCACCAGGCCAGAAGAAAAATGAACTACTGTGATAATTGTTACATTTGGAATGGAAAGAAGCCTTAAATAATCCAATTTCTTAGAGAAGAAAACAGATGTACTTTGAGAGAGAGTTCTGCTATAGGGTGCATGTACTTGCCAGAGAGACAGAGACAGAAAGTGAGACGTCACCGCCCACACATACAGGGGGCATGGCAACACTGCAATCCCTTCTCCTCTCAGGATTTTGGGCACACACGCACACAAAACTGGCCTGAGTTTCAATCCACTGGGTCTGGGACTCAAACCATAGTCAACTACATGGGAGTCCAGTGATGTAACCATTATGCCATCTGCTGGTCCTGTTTATGTATTTTGAAATCTAATCTCTCTCTCTCTCTACACACACACACACACACACACACAATCCCCCCTCCCCTAGGTTTTTGGCATATTTTGAGAGAGAGAGAGTGAGAGGGAAACTCACTAGGGAAACACCTTTTCCTCCACTCTCATTCTGGGATTTTGGGCATGCCCAAGTGCCAGGTATGATTTTCAAGTTGCCAGATCTGGGATTTGAACTGCAGTTGGCCATGTAGGAGTCCAGCACCTTAACCACCACACCACCTGTTGGTCCCCCCAGAACAGTATATTTTATAGTACATTAGATATCTGTATCCGTATTGTGAAAACACACACAATGGCTTCAGTTTAGCAGGCAGGCCAACTGAAATTTGAAGCCCAGCTCTACCTGGACATGCAGGCTTGCCCTCAGCCTCAGTTTCTCCTGCTATAAAGTGAGGCAATATCCATTTCACAGGGTTGATTTCCCCCCCGAAGGGTACATGCGCTTCCTGAAGGGACAGAGGGAAATACAGAAGGAGTGACATAGATGGGCCAGCCAGTTACATAGTGGTTGAGGTGGCTGGATCTCACATGGCCAACTGTGCTGTCCCAGTCCCAGACCTGGCAGCCTGAAAACATATCAGGTGTGTGTGTGCGTGCATGCCCAAATCCTAATAGGAAAATGGAGGATAAGGGACTGCAATGTGGCCACCCTCTTGGTGATGATTTCTCACTTTCCCTCTCTGTCTTTCTCTTTCTGGTGAGTACATGCACTGTACAGCAATGAAAAAGAAGTGGGCGAGGGGTTGGGGGGCAACAAAGCATTCCTGATGGAGCACAGTCATGCCAGTCTTTCTCCTCTGTTTCTTTCCTTTGGGATTTTGGGCACACATATATGCCCAGCATGTTTCTCAAGCTGCAGGTCTAGGACTCAAACCATGTGGTCAGACATATGGGATCAAGCTACTTTAACCATGCTATGAGCTGGCCCTCATAGGGTTTGTTTTTGTTTTTTTTTTAAGAGTTTTTTTTGCCAAAGGGCGAGTGCGCTCGCCAGACAGACAGAAAGCGAAAAATCACCCCCCAGAGGGGATGGCCACGCTTTAATCCCTTCTCCTCCATTCTCCTCTCAGGATCTTGGGCACGCACACGCGCCTGGCGTGAGTTTTAAAGCCACCGGGTCTGGGATGTGAACTGCAGTCGAATACATGGGAGTCCAGCGATATAGCCATCACACTAACTGCTGGTCCCTTGTTTTTGTTTTTTTTTTCCCCCTAAAGTAGAGGTTTTTGCCTTAGGGAGTGTGCACTTGCCAGAGATAGTGAGAGAGACGGTGAGAGGAAAAGCGAGAAATCACTCCCCAGGGGGATGGCCAATCCACAATCCTTTCTCCTCCATTCTCCTCCCAGGAGCTTAGGCACGCATGCACATACACCTGTTGTGAGTTTCAAGTTACCAGGTCTGGGACTTGAACCGTGGTCGGTCATGTGGGAGTCCAGCGACATAACTACTACTCCATCTACTGACTCCCACAGGGTTGATTTTTTTTTTTTCCCCTGGGGAGGTTTTTGCTATAGGGTGAGTGCGCTCGCCAGACAGACAGAGACAGAGAGACAGAAAGCGAGAAATCACCCCCCATGGGGGATGACCATGCCGCAATCCCTTCTCCTCCATTCTCCTCTCGGGATCCTAGGCACGCACACACACGTGCCCGGCGTGAGTTTAAGCCACCGGGTCCGGAACTCGAACCGCGGTCGACTACGTGGGAGTCCAGCGACATAGCCATTACACTAACTGCTGGTTCCCCACAGGGTTGATTTTTAAGATGAAATTTTCCTAGTCTAAAAGAACATACTATGTCACACAGTTAAACAAAATAGAATTTGTTATCTCATGACTAATCTAAATACATTCATTTTCAAAATTTAAGAGGCTTTTCATTTGTAAATTACCTGGGTTTTGGTAAGCTCATAATCAAAATCAAAAGATGATTGGAAATTGTGAATGATTCATTGAATTCCTAAGACCCGTTACTTGGAAGGCACAGAATCCTACTTCTCTAGTCTCCTGAGCATCCTGGAGTCTCACACTAGCAAGGACAATGCTGCTCACTAGACATGAATGAAGGCAGTTACTTAGCCACAGTGAATTACCATTCCCCAAGTGAATGCGTTTTACAGTTAAGGATGAACACAAAATCTTGGACAATGGAAAGCACAAAGAGAAAGGCACAGAAGATAAAACTACTGGCCATTCCCTTTTCTGACCCAGGCAGAATAGTGGGCTCTACACCAGATGTTCCCTTAATCCCTAAGCCTTTTGCCTTCTGAATTATCCAAACATCAAAGGGCAGTTTTAGCTCAGTGCAGCTTTATTCTGAAGTACTAAAAAACAGTACATACTCTCATTTATATATATGTGTGTATATATATATATGTATATATATTAGAATTATTTAACTATATCCATCATCATTATTTTTAAATTTGACCAGAGAGAGAGAAAGAGAAAAGGAGAAAGCAAGCTGCCAGGTCTGGGACTTGAACCATGATTGGCCATGTGGATATCCAGCGCCCTTAACAACCACACCACCTGTTGGCGCCCATACTCTTATTTATAAGGAATACAACCTCACTAATGACATGACTGTAATTTTATAAGCAGGGCACAAGATTATCACACTTGAACTAAACCCTAAACTCAGTTCACTTATATATTAAGGTTAATGAAGGCTAAGATTGAATGTGCTTCATGCTATTACCTACAAATATGAAGCTCTATAATATTTCCTTCACAAAACTGCCATCGTCGGTTCCATACTAAGTAAGGACTAAAAGAAACACATAAACACACTGGAACAAACAATAGGCCAGAATTTATATAACAGTGCATAGCAAAGGAATGCAGTTTAGTGTAAAAAAGCTATCTAAGGAGTAATGAGGTGGGTTTTACGTATAGCTCTGACTTTCGAGTTGGTCAAATCACCTCATTTCTCTGAGTTCACAGGTAAAATTATTATGATATTCAAATAAGACAATGAATATTGAAGTGCTTTCTCAGCCATAAATCTATATACTTCTTTCTTTTTCTTTTTTGCCATAGGGCACGTGTGCTTGCCAGAGAGAGACAATGAGAGGGAAAGTGAGAAATCCACCCACTAAGGGACATGGCCATGCCACAATCTCTTGTCCTCTATTCTCCTCTCAGGATTTTGGGCACGTACACACATGCGCCCAGAGTGATTTAAGCCATTGAACTCTAATGAGGTTGGCCATATGGGAGTCCAGCACGTTAAACACTATGCCATCTGCTGGCCCTCTATATACCATCTTAAAGTTCTAAAATTTAAGAATAAAAAAAAGAAAAGTCACATGTGGAATTTAAGAGGTCAAAAATCAGGGAAACTTGGGACCAGCAGTTAGCATAATAGCTATGTCGCTGAACTCCCATGTAGCCGACAGCGGTTCAAGTCCCAGACCTGGTGGCTTAAACTCATGCCGGGCGCGTGTGGTGTGTGCCCAAGATCCCAAGAGGAGAATGGAGGAGAAGGGATTGTGGCGTGACCATCCCCCCTGGGGAGTGACTTCTTACTTTCTATCTCTCTGTCTGTCTCTGTCTTTCTGGCAAGCGCATGTACCCTATAGCAAAAACCTCTCAAAAAAAAAAAAATCAGGGAAACTTCCTTGCGACAGCTTTTGCTAGGTTTCCAAGAAGAGCAAGGGAAAGCCGAACAGTGACTAGTCCACAGACTCCTGGGGTGGCACCCTCTAGCCTTACCAGACAGGGTTCCTCGTTCTTCAGTGTCACTATCACTATCCACAATGTCATTATGCTTTTCAATGTCTGCCAAAGACTGGCCATAATGAGTTAATTCTTCATCTTCATTTAGGTTGTAGATATTTTTTTTCTCATGATGTCGCTGATAGAAAGAGGAAAAAAAATCAATTTCCTAAAATTACCATATGCCTTTCATAGCAACAACAAAAAATTATTTTTCCATTATATGTGAAACGTGACAGTACAGCCTAAGCAGTCTTAAGATTATTCTGGGTCATTTGAGGAACGATTCAGAGAAAGGCAGAACTCATAGATGGGAACTCTTAAATAATTCAATGGCTGGGCTAAAGTTCTTTGGTCCACTCTCTACTCAGAAGAGCTGACAGCAGCAGTTTAGTTAAGAACTTCAGTACTCATCGCTTTCATTTACTCCCAGATACCTATCCATGTAACTATCTTTGCAGAAGGCCGCTTCACCTTTGGCCTAGCTAAACCAGGTCCAGGATCTAAAACCTATCCCTTGTACTTAGTGGGTAGGTGCCCAGGAAGCTACTGATAAACCCTTCTTCTTTAGGCTTGATTTCTATATGTAATGTACAGCAAAGACCTCCTGCATTTTCCCCCATACCTGTTGTTCTAGAGCAAACCTCTTCATCATCTTTTCCTCTGGGCTTATGTTGGTATTGTATTCCCCAAAGCGTTTATCTTTAAACACATTAGACTTATCCCTTTCTTTGTACTCCTTCAGTAAAGTCTGGGTACGCTGAAAAAGAGATCATAAAACAATCTCACAAAGTATTCTTACTAAAACTGCTTGCAGTTTTCACAAATGGGGACATCAGAATGGTATGGATTTTAAAGTTCAAAGCTAACACACTGTGATGTCAAAGTTCAGACACCATCTGCTTTCACTCATGATATCAACCTAAGAGAAGTGGTGAAGCAGGGGGCGGATCCATGGCCTAGTAGTAAGAGAGCCGGATTCCGCAAAGCCAACCACAAGGTTTGAATCCTGGCCCGAGCAACCTGAAAAACACTCTGGTGCATGTATGCGTATGCTCAAACTGATAGGGTGGAGAAATGGAGAAGGGACTGCTAAGTGTCCACATCACACTGGGGGGTGTTTGCTCTCTCTCTGATGAACATATACGTGCTCTGGCAAAGAGAGAGCGAGAGAGATGCTGAGGCAAGAAAATAAAGCAAAGAGCTTATTTGGGCCAGGATTAGGATGACTCCCCAGATCCACCACATCTAAACTTCTCTGAATAATGTGTGCTGGAATCTTAAGAGATTTCAGGACAATTTTAAAGGCAAATGTCACACACTGTATGTAGCAGGGGAGGAGCACAGACCCTTTACAACAGTGAGTAGCTAAATTCTAAAAGGGTAGCAGGATGACCTCACGACTACCTGGAGTCACTTTACTTTATCTTTTATTTATTTTTTACTTTTTGGAGAGGTTTTTGCTACAGGGTGTGTGCACTCACCAAAAGACAGAGAGAGACAGAGAGACAGACAGAAAGCAAGAAATCACCCCCCAGGGGGGATGGCCACGCCACAATCCCTTCTCCTCCATTCTCCTCTCGGGATCTTGAGCATGCACAAACATGCACCGGGAGTGAATTTAAGCCACCGGGTCTGGGACTTAAACTGTGGTTGACTACATCGGAGTCCAGCGACATAGCCATTACGCCAACTGCTGGTTCCCACTTTACTTAATCTTAATGCATGGAGAAAGAGGTTTATTTCTTACTAAAGTATTCCTAGGAAATGTATAGTTGTGCCTTTGGGTGTGATACAGATCATAAAGAAGTTTACTAAGTAGGGGTCATAGTTCAGACACTTCAGACCATCAAGAGAAGCAACAGTTTAAATACAAAATTCAACAATAGCAAGTATCAGATAATTTGGTATTTTCCCAGCAGCAACAATGAACTAATTCAAAATTATTCAAAGTTAGCTGTCCTTGAGATTGAATTCCCTAAGGCAGGGGAAGGATAGAGGGGGGATGAGGAATGACTATGACTTTTGTAGGAATTTGCGCCTTTTGTAGAAATTCTTATATTTGAGAACCGATTGCTATTTAACGGGAGTTTACAGCAATCAGCAATGTAAGAAACAGGTACAGGGCAGAATCTTTTCAAATGAAAGGCCCTGAGAATAAGGGCCAGCAGGTGGCATGGTGGTTGCAGTGCTGGATTCCCACAAACGACCATGGTTCAAGTACTGAACCTGGCAGCTTGAAAACCGTAACAGATCAACAGATAATCAGATCAACAGATAATCAGATCAACATATAGGGACCAGTACATGGTGAAATGGTTACATCACTGGATTCCCATGTAGCCTACAGTGGTTCGAGTCCCAGACCTGGTGGCTTAAAAATCACACTAGGCACTTATGTATGCATGCCCAAAATCAGGAGAGGATAATAGAAGACAAGGGATTGTGGCATGATCACCTCCCCAGGGTTGATTTCTCGCTTTCCATCTCTCTGTCTCTTCAGAGACTGTTGGTGCCCTATGGCAAAAATCTCTCTTTAAAAGAAGAATCGGATTTCTACCACCGAAGACCCTTTGACCAGACTTCACCCTTTTGCTCCCCAGTCTAGCCAGTAGCCAGACTGAACTCCAAAAACTAGAAAAAAAAAAAAATGTATAATCCGTCAGATGGTACTGAGGTAGCCTTTTAGGGACTTTCAGGAGTAAGGAAGGTCTTTTTGGATAAACTGAATTTAGAAGTGAAGCAAGGACAATAGGTGGCAGACTGTCCGGGGGTCTGAGAATGCCAAACCAGGAAGCTGAATAATAACATTTAGAGAAAACTTACTAGGTACTAAATACCTAGTAAAGGGAGAGTGTACATTATTATCCTCTCTTTGGAAATGAGAAAATGAAGGGGCCGGCAGTGGTGGTTAAGGTGTTGAACTTCCCACATGCACGACTGCAGTTCAAGTCACAGACCTGATGGCTTGCTTACTCATTTGCCCTTTATCTCTCTTTGTCTCTCTCTGGTCAAATAAAAAATAATAAAAATACTTTTTCCAGCATTCAAGATGTCGAAGCAAGGACGTGGTGGGTCCTCCGGGTCAAAGTTCCAGATTTCCCTGGATCTTCCAATAGGCGCCGTGATCAACTGTGCTGAAAACACAGGAGCTAAAAATCTATATATCATCTCTGTGAAGGGGATCAAGGGACGGCTGAGAGTGTGTACAGTGGGCAAGACGAGCTTATGACTGATGTCAATAAGAGAGTCCTGCATTGCACAGGCTTCCTGCTGCTGGCGTGGGTGATGTGGTGATGGCCACGGTCAAGAAAGGCAAGCCAGAGCTCAGGAAGAAAGGGCATCCAGCAGTGGTAATTCGACAACGAAAGTTATACCGGAAGAAAGATGGCGTATTTCTTTACTATGAAGATAATGCAGGGGTCATAGTAAACAATAAGGTGAAAAGAAAGGTTCTGCCATCGCAGGACCAGTGGCAAAGGAGTGCGCAGACTTGTGGCCCAGGATTGCATCTAGTGCTGGCAGCCCCGCATGATTCTCCAGTGTGTGTTTATAAAAAAAAAATAACAACCCAAAACATTAAAAACTATTTGCTTCCCCCCCCAAACAAAACAAAACAAACAAAATAAATAAATAATTCTTTTTAAAAAAAAGAAATGCGAAAATGAGTTTTAAGAGGCAAAGAAAAAAGTATGTATTCTATTGGGTCGTTGGGAGAGTCATAACACATTTTGCATATTTAAACAGAAAAATATGTCATGATTTTTCTGACGACCTAATAGTAGACTTACTATCCTATTCCCCCATGCCCACTGGGTCACCCAGGTGCTGGGCTGTGCAATGCAGGACTCTCTTATTGACATCAGTCATAAGCTCGTCTTGCCCACTGTACACACTCTCAGCTCCTTGCAGTAAGGATGACAGGTGGTTCAATGCACAGATCACCTGAATTGAACACTGTGAGACAATACACATTACAAACTTTGGAAGGCAGGGGCCAAGTCTTAACTTGTTTTCCCAGTAGCTAGAATAGAATAGAGCTTAAACATAAGCGCTAGAGACCAACAGTTAGAGTAATAGCTATGTCTCTGGACTCCCATGTAGTCGACCACGGTTCGCATCCCCGGACCCGGTGGCTTAAAACTCATGCTGGGCACATGTGCGTGCGTGCCCAAGATCCCGAGAGGAGAATGGAGAAGGGATTGCGGCGTGGCCATCCCCCCTGGGGGGGTTATTTCTCGCTTTCTGTCTCTCTGTCTCTCTCTGTCTGGCGAGCGCACGCATCCTATAGCAAAAACCTCTCCAAAATAAATAAATAAATAAATAAGAGCATAGTGTAGCATAAAGGCTTTGTCAACACAGAAACCTCAATTCAAGCTCCAGCTCTTAACCAGTTATCTGACTTTAGAAAATTTACTTGCCCTTTCTGTGCCTTAGTTTTGCAACCAACCTACTAACAATGTTAAAGTAACAATAAGCTTTTTTATTTATTTTTATTTTTAGGTACTTGCTTTAGGGTGTGTGTGTTCCCCAAAGAGAGACAAAGAAAAAGTGAGAAATCACTTTCCCCTGGGAGATGGCCATTCTGCAATCCCTTCTACTCTATTCTCAGGATTTTAGGCATGCACGCGTATGCTCCCAGTGTGATTTTTAAGCCACCAGGTCCAAGACTTGACTGGAACTGTGTTTGGCCATGTGGAAGTTCTATGCCATAACCACTACACCACCTGCTGGCCCCACCCAGTACTTTTTTTTTTTTTTTTTAGAGGTTTTTGCCTTAGGGTATGAGTGGTGCTGGCTGAAGAGAAAGAGACAGTGAGAGGGAAAGTGAGAAATCACCTGGGGGAGGGGGGATGGCCAAGCCACAATCCCTTCTCCATTCTCTTCCCGGCATCTTGGGCATGCATGCACATGCACCTGGTGTAAGTTTCAAGCCACAGGGATGGACTCAAACTGCGGTTGGCCAAGTAAGAGTCCAGCGATGTAACCACTAAGCCATCTGCATTGTTTTTTTTAAAAGAACAATGAACACATCTCAGAAGTTACATATATAATAGAATGTCATTTGTTGAAGTGAATGACATTTGGACTTTGAGAGGAAGGGAAACAACTTTAGAAGGAAGATACAGAATACTGTGGTACAGGACCATAAGCTTGGAAAGACAGAAGCTATGAGCTGCCCCAGACGGTAGTACTTCAGTTACCTTTCAAGGAACAAGGAAGGTCATGAGCTTCAGGGAACAGACACACTTCTTTTTTAAAAAAAAAATAATTATTTAATTTAATTAATTTATTATTATTACGTTTTAAATTTGCTATAAACCATGTGTGCTCACCAGAGAGAGACAGACAGACAGACAGAGAGAGAGGTAAAGTGAAAGAGCAAGCCAACCCAAGTCTTGAACTGCAATCACCTATATGGGAGTCCAGTGCCTTCACCATGCCACCTGCTGGCCCTGACACAAGTTTTTCAAATATCTATGCAGCATCCTATATAATAGCATCCTATATAATAACTCCCATCCATGGTCCCTAAACCTGCAGAGCCAAAAGTCTAAATCCCAATAGAAAGGATTAGAACAAGTTCTCAGGCAGCTCAAAGTTAGCTGAGGATACATTCTTGCACAGAAAAACACATCATGACTTTTCCGACGACCCCCCTTAACTTAGAGGCAGTTGGAACAAGAGTCACCAAAACACAGACACTGGTGCACAGGGGCTCGAGGAGGAACAGTTTTCCAGCCCACGCAAAAGCGAAGGCATGAAGATCAAAACCGTGCTATCACTATCACGCTCTCCACTTGACAGGCGACGAAACTGAGGCACAGAGAAGTCCACAGCTGGCCAAGGTCTCGCGGTTGGCCAGAACGTGCCCAAATGCTGACAAGTCAGCGCCACCCTCAAGTACCAAAGACAGGGGCGCGCGGCGGCCAGGTCGGGGGCAGGCGGAGCCGCGGAGCCCCTGAGCCCCGGGCGCTTGGCCCGCTTACCTTCCTAATAGCTCGCGCGCGGGACACTCCGGGTAGCCCCACGTCGTGGCGTGTTTTCCGGCCCAGGATCTGGAACTTCTGCCTGTTGACTTTCACTTCAAACGGGTTGGGACGGGCCTTGGCTGAGCCGCCTCGCGCTCCCGCCAGCGCCTCGGCGGCTTTCCTGCGCATCCCAGCCGACTTGGCCTTCCCCATGCTGGACGCTCCGCCGCAACACAAGGGGCGAGTTCCTCCCCAGGGTCGTAAGCCCGGAGGACAGACGCCTTGCTCAGGCGACCCCGGCGGCCGAAAGCAGCCTACTACGGAGCGCTTTAACTCAGGAGACACGCGCTGGGAAGTCTCGAGGCGGCTACGATAGCTCCCTGAACATCGCGAGAGGTAGGCACTTCCGGAAACGTACTAACTCGCTCCGACTCAGTTATGCTCCTATAGGCTGAGACTACAACTCCCAGAGGGCTACGCGCGACATCCGGCGCAGGGCATTCTGGGGGCTGTAGTGCCGCGTGAAGCGTCGCAGCCGCCGGGGGGCACAGCGGCGTGGGGAGAGCTCGGGCTCCCTCTCCTGGGAAGCCGTTAGGTGGGTCTAGCCGCTGTAAGCAGCCCGCGGCGGGGGGGGGGGGGGGTGGCGGCCGCCGCCGGGGG